GTGTTACTTAATGCATTATGAGTTATTTTTAAGACTTTTAAAACTTTGTGCATGAATGTATAATATTTTATGCATTAAAAATTATTTTTAAGACTTTTAATAAATTTGGTTTATAAGATAGTATGGATAAAATAATCACTTTTTATCGATTGTAATTTCTTTCTTCATTCCCACTTGTTATTGTTACTTTTTTACTTTCAACAAAAATTATCTTTTGAATGATTACTTGAATCATTAATTGAAATATAAAAGAAACATATAAGGTCAAATATAATAATTATAATTATATATAAATAGAGGATTTATAATTAGCTTGGTAAAAGACCATTTTATCCTTTCTAGTTAAAGTTTTACTCTTTTTTAATTGTGAAGATAAATATCACATGGCATCATCAACAGTCAACACTCAACTTAATGACCAGACTTGTGATCGAAGGGTTTTAATGGAAACATAAGGGTTGTTTATCAAACGCTTATTTAGATAAGCGTTTATTCTAAAACATTATTTTATCGGATAAATATAGTAATGACCAAAAATCTTATTTGGTAAGAACGAGAGAAAGATCAATAGTCTTACTCGGTAAACAAGGGCGACGACTCTTACCACGATAAGCGCTTACCGGGTAAATTGTTGTATACTATGTCGTTTTGGTGGACTAAAATCTTACCCGATAAGTACATAATAGTGTTAAATTTTACAACGACTCCTAAAACAACATCTTTAAAAGGTATGCTTATCCTTTTTAGAGATTTTTTTTTTCATTTTCTTCTTTATTTTAATTTTTTTAGCAAAATATCAGAACAAACATTTTATAGAATTTATAATTTTTTAAAATAACATAACTATTAAAAATACTCTTCCATTTATGACAATCACTTTAAAATATTGAATTTTTTAACACTAAATTTATTATTCTATTCAGGCACAAAATATAACATCAAAATACATGGTTTTAATATAGTTTATTTTTGGTAATTGTGGGTATCTAAGTATGAGATACTGGAAATAACAGTCAAACTAATACCCACATCGAGCACGTAACTTCTAATGAAAAAGCCAAGACCCGAGTCTTTATTCATCAGTTAAACTAACATTTAAAAGTAATATCTTTAATTTTTTAATCCTTAAAATTGTATTAACTGATATCATATTCTTATTCTTTTTTTATGTTATTATATAATTTAATCAAAATATGTAATTACTTATTATTATACTAAAAAGGTACTCGTATAATGCAGCGGAATACATTTCTTTTAATTATCCTTTGTTTCCATCGATGTTATAATACGATTTTATGATAATTTTTTTTAATAAAATATAAATTTGAAAATATCATAATTTTTTGAAAAAAACATATCGATATTAATATCAAATTAACTATTTAAAAGTTTTTCGTTTTTTTTGTAATTTTTTAAGTCCATTTTTTATTATAATTATATTTAAGTTTAATAAGAAGTCATTTATTTTTTGTTTAATAATATAATTTTTATAAAGTTGATAATTAATTATTCAAACTCAATGATTATTCTAATTATATTTCAGATTTTTTATATTTAAAATGAGATGTTTATTATGTATTAATTATTTTTATCTACAATTAGTTAATTAGTTATACGAATTCAAACATATAGTTTTAATAAGTTACCTTAAGTACAATATATTTGTAATCTTGAATTTAATAATATAATGTGTTTTTAGAGATAACTTTTAGTTAATTTTTTTATTATAATTTAAAGTTTAATAATTAAGTAATTTATTTTAGGTTTAATAGTATGATATTTCTTTATAAATATAATAATTAAGTTTTCTGTTATAAATCAATGATTACCCTCAACATATTTATGAGATGTTTATCATATATATGATTACATTTATCAATTAGTTATATGAATTCAAACATATAGTTTTAAAAAACTGTATTCATACATCGCTTGCATGTAATCTTGAATTTTAAGTAATATATATTATTAAACAATACTTAAAACATTAAAATTGGGTTTTAAAAATTTAATCAAAATGCTTTATAATATAGCATAGGTATAGATAAATACTTATTACTTAATATCAAAATCACTTTTATTTAATTACTAAAGAAAAGTAATCATGATACTTTAATACTTAACAACAAAAAAAGCAAATTGTTTACACATAATTTTTTTTTTTGAAATCATGTTTTTTTAATTTAAAAACTAAGAATTAAACTTATAGTTAAAAATAATATATTAATTAAAAAAAACATTTTGTACACGTTAACGCCATAAATTTGGTGGGTTACCATAATAAATCACCAAAAATATGATAAAATTTAGGATTAAATAAATGAAATAACAACTTACTTTCATAATTTTTTTTTATCTAGCATTCTATTTTTGTTTTTCCTTATTACAACAATATAATTTCAAATTATTTTTTATTAAAATATCGCACTTTAAAAAATCTACCCATTATAACAATGAGTATATATGAATCCATTGCCCCGAACATCAAAATGGTGTTATTAAAAACTTCAATCATATTAATCATAGTTTTAAAATATGATTGAAGCTTTTAATAACACCATTTTGATGTTTTGAAGTATTATTGGATGTAGGAGTAGTAGTGTTTGGGGCAGATGACTCATATCTACATTTCAAATTATTTTTATATATGAAAATATACTGATTACCATTAAAATAAATAATTTATTAAATAAATTTAATCTTATTTTATAGTTTATAATTCATTTGTCTCCTAATATCTGTGTTGAAGAAAGTAATACATAATTGCAAAAATATGTAATTATCTTGTTAAAAAGGTTACTTGATAATTGCATTTTTAATGATTAAGAGTAGAATTAAAAAGTAGACATTCTTTTTGAAAGCGAACAATTATAAAAGAATCTTATTTTTGTGGGTTCTGTAATAATATGAATATAAAAAAGCTGATATAATGTCATTTCACAACAAATTCACGGTTAGAAACCAATGACAGATTCTTATAAGCAAAAATGAAAGTTCTTGTAAGAAAATGTCATTAGAGAGGATTCTTATAAAGCCTCGTAAGCTCATATCGTTGTTCTTGTACAAAAACATCGATTCTTACCCTAAACGTGATATAAGTGATAATTTGTTGGTTTTTTGTATATTTTTTTTTGACTTTATAGGTATTAATATGTGTGTATCTATACTATATTATAAAACATTTGACAAAAACTTTTAAAAACCATTTTTTATGCATGAAGTACTTTATATTAATGCATATTACGTAAAATTCAAGATTACAAGTAAATTATACATAAGTATAACTTATTAAAGCTCAAAATTTGAATTCGGGTAACTAACTACGGATAAACATAATTAAATAGTTGATAAACATCTGATTTTAAAAAATAAAAAATTTAAAATATAATTAGGATAATTATCGAGTTAATTAATTATTATCTTTATAAGAAAATTATATTATTAAACCAAATATAAATTACTTCGTTATTGAACCTAAATATTAAATTATAAAAAAATTTGAATTAAAAAATTACACAAAAAATAAGAATTTTAAATAGTTAATTTGATATTAATATCGATATATTTTTGTCAAATTTTTATGGTATCTTCAAATTTATATTGTATTAAAAAATAAAAACATCGTCTTTCCAAAATCATATAAGACCATACTATAACATCGACTGAGATAAATAATAAAATGAAATATTAAAATCAAGATGTATCTCGTTGCATTGCGCGAGTACCATTCTAGTGTGTGTGTGTATATATATATGTAGAATGATTGTGTAACAAGGAAAGTCAAGGTGAGAAACATAAGAAGAGATTTGAGATTAAAGATGATCAATAATACAAATCTCTTCTTATGTTTCACTCATGAATCACGCGTATTATCACATATGATAAGGATGTTCTAGCGTTCTCGTAAAATAGAAGTGTTTTCGTTTGAACCTCCACCTATATATATATATATATATATATATTATAAAACCTATAAAAAGGTTCTTATAAAAATTATTATTATGAACTTTTATGCAAGTTTATAATGTGATGGATTGAAAATGATATGACAATAAATGTAAAAAGAGTAAGTTATTGTAAATGCATCTCCAATAGATTATTCAAAATGGAGAAAATATTTATTTTGGATATGTTTTTTTTTTTGCTCTAATAAATTCTTTAAAAAATTTCGCCAAAATGGAGCAAGAAGAAGAAAGAATATAAAAATCTTCAAATTTAAAGAACACTCCAAAAGTAATTACAATAAGGAAGAAATACTATTTAATATATTTCTATTAACAGAAAACTTTGAAAATAAATATTTAAAGAGAAAAATAATATTTTATTAGATAAAATAATTATATAATAATATGATCAATATTGTAATTAAGAGTGTAAATGCTACGAGTCAAGCTCGAGTATCGGTATACTCGACTCGAACCCTATACCTATTTGTCAAGCTTGAACTCGACTCGAGAAGTCGCAAGTAGTTAAAACTAAACTCGTCTCGATTGCAATTTTTTAAACTCGAACTTGCTTGAAGCGTGAATCAAGCTCGAACTCAAACTCGAATCAAACTTGAACTAAGCTCATCCGTTGGAATTAATAATTTTTTGTGGGTCTTCTCTTATAAGTTATAAAATTAAATGTGTTCTCTTAAATTTTATAAAATTAAAGAGATAAAGTTACAAACTTCATTCACCTCTCATTTTTTATAACACCTTTTCACCATTTATTTACTATATCTCTTTCAATTTGAGATAAATTCACCAACACTTCTTTAGTTTTTTCTATCTTTTTTTAGTTATGATTTTGATTAAAAAAATAATTTATTAATTCGCACTGCATCTGTTAAAACGTATTTTGAAGATTTTTAGTTTAAGAAAAAATTGTTGATTGGTGTAAAATAAGTGAAAATAAAAATGGTACATAGGAGGAGGAGCCCCAGTTGCATTTGTGTACTATTTTATACTTCCCACCTATTATCTCTCTCCTCTCCTTCACCTTTTTCTCTGCAACTCTGGTGTGCGTTTCTCTGACCACCACAAAAGGACTCTCACTAGTCAATAACCTCACCCAATCCCTCCCCTCAATGCTCAGATTCTTCCCCAATTCACAATTTCAATACCCTTAATCCCAATTCCCAATCAACCATGAAACGAAATCATATCATAACCTCTGATGTCACCGGAAAAGCTAAGAAGACTATGTGGGATGAAGAAGATGCCGGCGTTGATGAACTCTTGGCTGTATTGGGTTACAAGGTTAAGTCGTCTGATATGGTTGACGTTGCTCAGAAGATTGAGCATCTCGAAGGAGTTTTGGGGAACGATGATGGCTTATCGCTGCTTGCTTCGGATTCCGTTCATTATAATCCATCTGACTTATCGTCCTGGCTTGAGTCTATGATTTCTGAGCTTAATCCCACCACTCAACCACCCATTATCGACGATTCCTTCATGAATATTGCAAACACAGCCATCGCCGCCGGTAACCCACCGCCGTCTGAGGTGGATTCGACCTCTGCCTTCGTTGACGATCTACAAGCTATCCCGGGAAACGCGATTTACCCTCCGACGAAGAAAGTAAAGTCTTCTTCTTCATCGGCCGGAGCGTCAGCATCGTCGTCTTACAACCCGAACCCGAACCCGAATCCGGTGGTCATCGTGGATTCCCAAGAAAACGGGATCCGGCTTGTTCACACGTTAATGGCGTGCGCCGAAGCCGTCCAACAAGAGAATCTTGCACTCGCTGAAAATCTGGTGAAACAAGCCGGGATGTTAGCCGTCTCTCAGGCCGGTGCCATGAGGAAAGTCGCTACTTATTTCGTCGAAGCTCTTGCCCGGAGAATTTACCGGTTATCCCCAAAACCCCCACAGGACTCGCCGGCGTTTCAAGATCTCCTTCAGATGCATTTTTACGAGACCTGTCCGTACCTAAAATTTGCACACTTCACGGCTAACCAAGCCATATTAGAAGCTTTTGCAGGGAAGAAGAAGGTTCACGTGATTGATTTCAGTATGAAACAAGGTATGCAGTGGCCGGCGTTAATGCAAGCTTTGGCTCTAAGACCCGGCGGCCCACCGACGTTTCGATTAACCGGAATCGGACCGCCATCCGGTGATAACACGGATCACTTACAGGAAGTGGGTTGGAAATTGGCTCAATTAGCTGATACAATTCATGTGGAATTCGAATATAGGGGTTTTGTAGCCGAAAGCTTGGCTGATCTTGAGCCGGCGATGCTTGATTTGAGAGAAGATGAAGTGGTCGCCGTTAACTCGGTTTTTGAGCTTCATCAGTTGTTGGCGAGGCCAGGGGCGGTGGAGAAGGTTTTGTCGGCGGTGAAGGAGATGAAGCCGGAGATTTTAACGGTGGTGGAACAGGAAGCTAATCACAACGGGTTGGTTTTCTTGGAGAGGTTTACTGAGTCATTGCATTACTACTCGACCCTTTTTGACTCTCTTGAGAGCAGTGGCAACGGCGGCGGAGGGGTGGACGGTGGTGCTATCTCGCCGGCGAGTAACCAAGATAAAATCATGTCGGAGGTGTATTTAGGAAAACAGATCTGTAACGTGGTTGCATGCGAAGGACCGGACCGAGTCGAACGGCACGAGACGTTGACTCAGTGGAAATCCCGACTGGACTCGGCCGGGTTTGAGGCGGTTCATCTGGGTTCCAACGCGTTCAAGCAAGCCAGCATGTTGTTGGCTCTGTTCGCCGGCGGCGACGGGTACAGAGTCGAAGAAAACAACGGTTGTTTGATGCTGGGTTGGCACACTCGGTCACTCATCACCACCTCGGCATGGAAAATCCGATGAACCCGGCCGAGTTGACTCAAGGATGGCGTGCTAACTCAGTACTTGAAAGAAATAAAGAAATTTGAAGTGGGGCCACCTTATGATTTTTCTTTCTTTTTTAGTTTTTCACCAAAGTGGTTTTTAAGGTTTAACTTTTTTCACTTTTGGGAAATGGAGGGGTTAAATTGTCCATTAGTTGAAACTGGAGGGGTGGGAGTGGCATATTGTACTTTTTTGGTGGGGTTGAATGAGATAGGATGAAAAGGAAATTTAAAAAAGATGGCTTTCATTCAATCTCCTCCATAATAGAAAAAGAAGAGAGAAAAAGGTTACTTTTTGGTGGGGTAAACATGTGATGTAGAAAGGATCAAACTTGGAATTTGTGGGATTTTTAGAAAAAAATATATTATTTATTTATTTATTATTTCAAATTAAAATTAAAATTAATGCATTAATCATATTAAATTTAAATCACTATTTTGATTTTTTGGGTTTCGGTTTACGACGATATACCGTTTATTCATAGATGATTAAAACTTTAACAGTAATTTACCTTATATGACTTGTGATGACGAAGTTCAGTTTGAAACAATTTTGATTAGTTTATATTCGTCGTATAGAATATGATGTGCATACGTTTAGTATGATTGTGATTTTACGATCTGATTATGACACATGTCTTTGTCTCAAGAGCGATAAACTCGATACAAAAGAAAAACAAGTAAAAGAATATAACGGGCACCAGAAATAGGAATTTGAATACGTCTGATTGATGCTTATGTTTTTCAAGCTCCTACTTATTTAAGATTTTGATATTTGCGTCGTATAAGTACGACCGTGAGAACATAAGAAAATTTTAATCGTTCTAATATAAAACTTCTTGTACGTGTACTATTATCTCACGCGTTTCTCCGACTGGTCTTTTTCTTTCTATAAAGAGTGTACGCGAAATGAACCGAACAACTCGAGCTACATCTTAACTACTTAATTAGTATGGTTCAAACCCCATAACTTCACGATCTTTGATAAATCAAGCCTATCAAGCTATACCAAACAAACCCAAACTCGTAGTAGTCAAATTATAAATAAAAATTTATAAGATTACAGTATAAAACAGATCGATTTTTTTACAAGATTAATAATTAAAAACCCGACGTAATTGAAAACTAGACCAAGAAAAATCAAATAAATATTTTTATAGTACAATTTAAATAAAAAATAATATTTTCAAGAAATTAAATAGAAAATATAGATTTATATAATAGTGTTTTTAAATTATAGAGGAATAATATCATATGCAATTATTTTGGGAAATGAATAAATTTATTATTAGAATATTAGACAACTTGTCTACTGAAAATGACCCAAATTCTCTTTCAATAAACCTCGTCGCCTTAATAATTGATGAAGTTTTATATCATTGTTTTTTTTTCCTTGTTAATTTATGGAAAATCATTATTTAAATATTTACGACGTATTTCCTTGTTAGAAAACGTCGTCGCCTTCCCGTGACTTTCAAAGCTTAACGCTTGACATCGTCATCATGACATGTTATCATGACATGCCTCACATTGTTTAGAATCTTGTCCAGAACAGAAAACTATAGAGTAACTTAGAGATCGTGTACCAAGCGCTTATTGAGTAAGTATTTACCGATAAAGGGGTATCACTTTTACTTACCTTATAAGATAACATTTTCGGTCGTCAAAATGGATTGATGGTAAACGTATCTTACCTGGTAAGTGCTTAACATGTAAGATTCTTTTTCTCTCATTACCAAGTAAGATTTTATGTCCTTGTTATGCATCTTACGAGTTAAGATTTTAAGACTTGTACACTTGTGACATGTGAAACTAGGGTGTGTAGAAAATCGTTCAATCCAATTTAAACGGACTGATCCAAGACCATAATCATGTATTCAATTGTAGTTGGATCGGATCGGATCAGATCGAATCCAAAATTTCAATATCCAAATTGGATCAGTCGGTTCTTAGATGACAATCCAGCATCAAATAAAACTGAACCGATCTAGTCCGATGGCCATCCAATTCCCCATCCAATAATTATCCAACTACTATCCAATAGGCGAAGGATCGTGTGACAAAGAAAGTTATGGTGAGAATTGTAAGAAAAGATCTGAATCATTGATCAATTTTAATCTCATGCTCACCCATGAAATGCACTTTAGAAGGGAATTGATCTGGTGCATCTCGGTGAACCTCATTAGTCTTGACATTTTAATTAAGATTGATCTAAGGGTGCAGATCTCTTCTTATGTTTCTCACCGAGACCCAACCCATATCCAATTAATAACTATATATATAGTTATAAACATGTTATGATATTGTTTTCAGTTGATATTTATATGCATTGCTTTTTGATAACCTAAGAAAATATATGAATAATGGTTGAAATAGTGGATTAATTAGTTGAAAACCGAATCAAAATATTGAATGAATCCAACCCGATCCGATGAATAACCATAAACAATATCCAATATGATTGGATTGGATCAGATGACAAAATTCAACATCTAATAGATTAATCTAATCCGATCCGATGAATAACCAATAATAATATTAAATGAATGGAACAGATCCAATTATCCATTGGAGCGGATTAGATCGAATGACAAATTTCAACATCCGATATATGATTGAATCGAATCAAATCCACCTAAATTCATTGAATTTCAATCGATAAATACCTGTCATATTTTTGTTATTGTTGCGAGGTTGTGATTAAACGAAATTACGAAAAGGACTTTTATGAATATAAAAAATTCGTCATCAAGATTTTATTTATTATTACCTAACCTGTTTTTAAATCATTGTATTTTAAAAATCGGCATTTTTCTTTTCTTAATTTCTTTAAATAATACGAGAAAAAGGTATATCACTCGGCATAAAAAGGCATCAAACACAAATACAACATAAGTGATAATTTATGAAAGAAACGTAATATTTGTTTATGTACACAACATGTGTAAATAGACCGTGAAATTTTAAACAAACAATCGGAAGAAGCATATATCACGGAATATGCGATCCCCCCGAAGTAGAAAATTTACGCTAATGGTTTCTATTATTTAAAGTAATCGGACAGATGTAGATTTAAAACGACGTTTTTTATATTTTGAAACTAATTATTATGAAACACCCAACTTCTTAGAGGTTTTGGACATCATATATAACATTTCCCTTGAGTAAACGGCTTCCTAAACTAACATATTTGTCATTCTGTTGGAAATAGAGATTGCTTTCGAATATGTGCAACCACGAACATTGTTTAATGTCGGAACCAATACATTTAAACAAATATAAAAGTATATACGTAAAAAGATAATAATTGTGCTTAATAATTTACTGGTAAAGTGGTTACGATTACGAACTAATATGAATATGAACTTATTCGTTTAAATTAATACCATCGAGTAACTTCTTGGGATCATACCGGTATTTGACGAAAATCTCAATAAATTTTGTTGTGTTTAGAACTAGTATTTTATTCGTTAAAGAGAATTAATGGAAAAACATGATTACGTTTTTTCCAACAAAGTTAAAATATTTAATCGCATTTAGTTAAAATCTCTTTTTTTTTGTTAACTATGGACGTCTGCGTTAACTTGTGCGCATCTCCATTGATTTTGAGGGCTCTTTAGAATTGTCAATAAAATTTCAATAACATTGCAAGACTCAAATTGACGACTTCTAAGGAAAAATCCTAAAAAACCAAAAAATTTATTGATATTTGAGCTATAACCATATATATATATATATATATATATATATATATATATATAGAGA